TACTCGTCTCTCTCACTAAACCAAACTAGTTTCTTACTCTCTCTCTCTCTCTCTCTCTCTCTCTCTCTCAATTACTAGAGTGATGCTTGGTTTGACTTATGGAATAAGACCTACAATTTGAAGAGCTTGGTGTGATTGCTGATCCTTTCATGTATAGTGAGGAGTGAAGAATTTTTATAGTAAATAATGTCGTTGGTTTTGCCATTTCTTAGTTCTTTTATTATTTTTTCTCTCTGGATGTTTGGCTGTGGTACAACTTATCCCAAAAGAGAGAGAGAGAGAGAGATATACGAATCAAATACGGTGGCAACGGGTTGGGTCCCGGATCTTGATTGGGACCCCAACCCGAATAGTATTTAAGTCCAGGTTTTGGAACCAGACCCAATCTTTTGGATCCAAAATGTGGACTCATATCCATACCCGAGGTCATGTCTACCCGTCTATTCCCGAGTGTGGATAGGTCCATTGCCAACTTATTGTTTATGTGAGACACGTGGGCTATCACTATAGACTTCTTCTTCTTTTTTTTGGCCTTTTTTTTTTTTACATTATATGCCGTATTATTGGCAACATTTATACTATTGCACAACTTTTATGAATACCCTTGTATCCCAACATTCCTTACTATTTTACGTAAGAACTGAAAATTTTTAAAATAATCAACCTATTGTCAACAATTAGGAATACCCACTTACACCATATTATTCGGGTTGGGTCCAGCAGGACCCAGGAGTGAACCCGACCTTTCGTGTCTAAAAATTTGGATTTATACTTGGACCCGAGGTTGGGTCTACCCATTGGGTCCCATGTCTTCTTGGGTCCATTGGCCCCCCCTAGAATCAAACGGGAGAGAAAGAGAAGGGTTCGATGAATCAAATGAGAGAAAGAAGGGTTCTATGAATGGGGAGAGAGAGGGGGTTACTTACATGGAAAATTACAAAAAACCTCAAAATCATCCTTTTTATGTAATTTACCTCATTTAATTTTTTTTCACTTTTTTTTCTAAATAAACTTTACATGCAAATATCCCCAAGAGAAACAATTCCTTTTTTTAGACGGAAATGCTTTTTTCATATACAAAAATCATTTTGGCCAAATTTGAAGTTGACTTTTGGACCCAGTAGCAAATTGCAGGATGCACTATGACATTGTTGGAGCCCACAAGTGTTGAACCTCCTTAAAACAACTACCGGATCGAAACTGAGTACTGTCAAACCACACTTTACATAGTGCCGGAGTCCTGGAATCCAGTAAAATGTACTGCCCGATTGCGCTTTGCAACTGTCGGACCGCCTTTTGCAATTGCCGAACCGCCCTGTGCAACTGTCGAATCGCATTTTACACAATGCTAGAGCCATACTGCCGGACAGCACTTTACACAGTGTCGAAACCCTACTGCCGGACCTCATTTTACACAGTATCGGAGCCCTATTGCCAGACCAAACTTGCACGGTGCCGGGGCCCCTATTTTGATGGGATAGAGGAGAGACAGGCGTTGGTAAAATAAAAGTAAGGGAGGGTAGTTTAGGTTTTTTTTATTTATTTATTTAGTTGGGAGGTATTTGCATAAAAAGAATATTTTGAAAAAAAAGTTAGATTGAAGGTAATTTGCATCAAAAAAAATGTAGTCCTGTTTTTCTTTTTCTTTTTTTCTTTTTTTTTGTAATTTTAGCTCACTTCTGTATAGTTATATGAATCATATGCGATAGCGTAAGGAAGATGCCAAGAATTCTGACTCGTCGGAAATGGAAAGATTCGTGAAATCGAGATGGGACGCCTTCCACGTGAATAAATTCCCCATGCAATTGACCTAACTTTTCCATCCCTTTCTCTAATTTTTTTTCCGTTATTATTTTTTTCTCTAGAAGTAACTAATTTCTCTCACCTTTTACCTTGGGCAAGATTTTAAGTACTTTTAGATGCAATTTAAGAGAGGTCGTGACTATTATATGTGAAATTATATGGTTGTATTTTTTCTATTGATCAAGCTCAAATTTTAAAATTAATTTTTTCGAACTTTGTAACACACTCAAGGTATCGAATTTCACATGTAATGGTTAGAAGTAATTGTAACCTCTTTGTATTTATTATATATTAAGCGAAAAGAATAGTTTGTTATCCTTGCGTCACATGTCTTTTTTTTTTTTTTCCATAATTATCTTCTATCTTTCTCTCTCCATTCTTTTTCTCCCTATCTTTCCCAACGTTATATTTCTCTCACCCTCTCTTCTTTCTTTAAATCTCTCTCCTAAAAAAAAATATCTCTCTTTCCTTAAATCATTATCTCCCATTCTCTCTCAATAATATATATATATATATATATATATATATCCAACACTCTCTCATTCTCTTTTTCCTTAATTCATTTTCTCTCAATAATATCTCTCTGCCTCTCTCTCATTCTTTCTTTCTTTAAATCTCTTCCTCAAAATTAAATCTCCCTCTTTTCTTAAATCAGTCTCTCCCTTGCTCTCTCTCAATAATATGGAAATGAACTCAAATTTTTTTCTCTCACTCTTTCCTCAAATCTCTCACACGCCCTCTTTCCTATCTCTCTCACCTCTTTCTTAAAATCTCTCTTCCTTTACTTTCTACATTTTCTCTAATTCACACACTCTCTTTCTTTACGTTCTACATTTTCTCTAATTCACGTACACTCTCTTTTCTAAAATATGTCTCTCTTTCTTTCCAAACGGCCTCTCTCTATTTCTCTCTCGCTCTCCAATGAACTCAATCTTTTCTCTCTTACTCTTTCTTCAAATCAGACTCAACCCCTTTCCTATCTTTCTCACTCTTTCCAAAAATCTCTCACACACCTTTCCTAAAATCTCACTCTCTTTCTTTCTTTACTCTCTACAATTTCTCTAATTCACGCACCCTAATACTAATTCCTCCTACATCCAAAAATCTCTCGGTACGTTTTCTCTCTCTTTCTTTTTGCTTTTTCTTTTCCATTAATTCTCCAACATTTGTATTAATTCTCCAACAATAGAGCAGGTATATTTTCTTGGGAAAATATCTCCATACCCTTTATTTTTATGTTTTATATCTCAATAAGCCCAAGGTTTCAAAATATATCTTGGATCATAAAAATTCTAAGTTTTATATATTTTAACCCCCTAAGCTAACTTTATTTCTTTTAAACCTAACTTTTTGCGCCAAACAAACTAACTTTCTAAACACCATCATTTCTCTCTTTTCACCTGATTTTCTCCTAAATCTCTTTCTACCTATTTTCACACTCTCTCTCTCCTGTGTCTCTCACTCTCTCTCCCTGTTAGAGAGACAAAGAAGGTGAATGTTAGAGATAGAAATTTAGGGGAATATATCATGTAAAGAGATGAAGGGTTTAAAATGAGCAGATCTTTTTTATATTTATTAGGACTAAAAAAATAGTTAAAAGTGGATAAAGTTAGTCAGGAGGTTAGGAGATATATTTTAAATCTTTGGGTCTATTGAAATATGAAACTAAAATAGGGGGTACAAAGATATTTCCCTATTTTATCTATCTTTCTTTCATGTATGGATTAAGGGTGCAATCATGTTTTCTCTAGATTGTATTATCGACAAATATTAGTCTAAAAGGTATGCATCTCTCTCTATCTCAATGACAAATTCTCCAACAGTAGAGCATGTACATTTTCTCTCTCTTTTTCATGTATGGATTAAGGGTGTAGCCATGTTTTCTCTAGATTGTATTATTGGCAAATATTAGTCTAAAAGGTATGCATCTCTCTCTCAATATGGTGTCTCTCTTTCTAATGCCCAACCCTAACAATTTATGTTTCTAACTTGATCCTAAACATTAAATATTTTTAATTTTAGGTTAATTAGTTTTCAATTTTAGATCTTCTACAGTTAATTTTGATTTTCTAACATTGTTCTTACCCATGGCTTACTTTTGATGTTTTTCTCTACACATGCAAATCACATAATTTACATGGGCAGCTAGAGGTGAGCTTAGTAGAGCAGGTATATTTTCTCTCTTTCTTTCATGTATAGATTAAGGGTATAGCCATGTTTTCTCTAGATTGCATTTTTGCAAATACTAGTCTAAAAGGTATGCA